GCTATGGACCCCCTTCCCAAGAAATATTCATACACACATTAATTTGCATGCAATGAGCATATTGCACTTTATTTATCATCTGATTGTTTCATACATATATGATCTACAAAGTATTATCCAACTTCAAAGTAAACATTCTAATAAAAAAATAATAATAATAGTATGAATGTTAATATTATCTGATTCTCACACACTCCCTGAATCCCATCCATGGACCCCAGGTTAAGAACCCCTGATCCAATGTCATTTTCTATGGTGAATTTTGATTGCACATAGATAGTTTCACAAGTGCTAAGGCACCAAGGAGCCAATGCATAAGCCTACGTGTCCTTAGCTGATTTCCCTTTTCCTTGAGTATTTGGATTTTTTTTTGTGCTATTAATATCTATTTTGTTATTAGTGTCATTAACATTATGAATATTATAATATTAATGATACTAATAGCAATAAAAAATCAAAAAGAATCTTTCTGAAAAATCAAGGAAAAGGGTAAACAGGTGAGCTAGGTAGGACTAGTAATTGACTCCTTGGTGCTCTAGCACTTGTGGGACTATCTTTGTGAAAAGGCAATTCATAAATAAAAAGACACAGTGGACATGGCATATATTCTTGCAACCAGCCAACACTGGAATAAGTCTCCAGTTTTCCTACTCATATGATAACCTTTCCTCCCAACTTCATGCCATTCATTGCATGTTTCACCTCATCTTCTATTATGTCTTGGAAGACCTGAATTGCTATTTCGCCCAACATTAATTTTTTGACACCTTTTAACCCCTTGGTGCTGGGTCACGCCGATAGGCATGTAAACAAACCGCTCGAAAGCTGGCGTGCAGCCAGACGAGCCGGTGGCGCGCCAAAGCGCAGCGAGCCAGTGATTCGGGTTGACGTCCCGTACTCGCGCACCGCCTGTGTTTGCTAGAGCGTAGAGTTTTTTTTTTTTCTTTTGTACACCCAGCGCCATTGGCTTAAACCTTGTTCTGATTACATATTGGTAAGACATGACAAAATGAACCAGTCTTCTCCTCTAGTGTTTCACTGGCCACATTCACCTTTCACAATGCAACATCATCACACAAGAAGAAAAACATACTAATTTAAATGTGTAAGCACAATATACTCAATTACTAAAGGTAATTTTTCACAATACCTTTGCATAACTGATTGCAACAATTTTGGTACTGATGGATTCTTCTCACTCTCTAATATATACATATTTAGGAATTATGCCATGGAACCCCCCCAAAAAAAACACATAATAATACCTTACTATACAGCTGAATGCAGGGGGATACTTCGCCTGTGACCCCTCAACCCCTGCCCAGGAAAACAAAGAATCCTCCTTGTATCCACAGCAAGGTAGAGTGTACAACCTACAAGCGGGGCAGACACGGCAATATATAACCTGACTGATAGATGCCAATGAGCCAGGAGTTGATTCTCTCATGCTCTATCCAGACATACATACTGGACATACATGGTGAATTCTTTGTCTTGGGGGTGGGGGGTACAGACCCTATATTATACATTGCGCTGACTTGTTCACTGTGTATCAGTACTAAAGTTACGTACTTACTGTACTCTATTCACATTTTACCCTGCAATTTCCCTGCTACCTTTTATGCCCTCAGAGCCAAGAGTGTTGCTAATGGTATGTGGGGTGGGGGTGGGGGGGGTTCCAAGGCATAATTTTGATATATTTGGATAGTAGAGTGAGAGGAATCCATTGACACCAAAATCATCACAATCAGTTATGTGAACGTATTCTGAAAAACAGCCCAATACAGGCCAACCTTGGTGTCTTATGCAATGCAAACTTACTCAAGTGCTCTTAACTCTCTGGGATTTAAATTTCAATATGGTTTAGCTAACAAAACCCTCTCACCAGCTAGGCTTCTGAATGATAATGACACTTAGAAGTGTTTGTTTCCAATTAAATGTGACATGGTTTGAATGAATTTTTCCTTTTTTACCATGCTGTAACATTTATCATCACATGTCTCTCCAGGTCTCTAAATTAGGGAAAACAAGGACTGGAACTGGTTTAGCCAAAATAGGATTATTATTACAATAAAGTTTGACACATGCCTAAAATATTACGAATATAATAAAACACCAACCTGGTCAGCATAATCTACAACATCATGGTAATCAAGCTGCCGGACTTGGGGCTCTTCCAAAACCAGGTCAAGCTTGGTGCCACACAGGTAAATGTGACACCTTTCTTCATTCTTCTGCACCTCTGTTACCCAGTACTTGGCTCGTTCCAGACTAGGATAAGCAATTATTAAAAATCAGCCTAATTTACTGCCATTTGTAACATTACACATAAAGCTTAAAATCAGAGCCTTCAATTTTTATACAGATTAATTATAGAGATAAAACTTCCAATGCAAGGCATAAAAGATTTTACCAAAAAAAAAAAAACTAGAGTAAAAATGAAAATATAATTCAAAATTCATAATGGACATGCTCAGTCCTTCTGACTTTACCATATTAGTGTCCTTGTTTACATGGAGAAAAAGAAAAGAGAAAGAGGAAAAACTTGGATGAGAAAATGTGCAATCCGCTTACACAAAAACAGAAAAATTCAAAACACAAGCATATGGAAACACATAAAACAAATAAATGAAAATGTATAGTTCCCATGAAAAAAAAAAAAAAAAAAAAAAAAAAAAAAAAAAAAAAAAAAAAAAAAAAGTTAGTATCTAATCAGCCTTCACTATAACATGCTCTATTTCCAGCAATTCAAATTAAGGACAAGTAAGGTGTTGTCACATCTTGATTTTTCTTTATGAAAAGCCAAGTTGAAAAGAAAAAGAGAAGAAAAGACTTAAGCAATGAACTACATAAGATAGCAGATAGTAAATATTCTATCTGATATCTAACTTCATGATTCTGAGGTTTCAACATTTTGATCAAAGAATTTATCGCACCAAAAGGCAAACAAACAAACAACCTTTAAAAGAATAATTGAACTCCTTCTACAGAGTAAATAACTGAAAATTACCTTTCATTTTCTGTTATATCATAACATATTATAGCAGCTCCTGCATCTCTGTAATAAATCCGACTCATGGCTTGATATCTCTCACTGCCAGCTGTATCCCATAGACCAACACAGATTACTCTTCCCTGGACATTCATTCGACGAGCACCAAATGCTGCCCCTGTGAGAAGCAAAAGTCTGATTCAGAATAAGTTTCTGAAATCCTCATAACCACTTTTATTTTAGTGGTTTTACCTACTGCCAGAATGAAGCAAATCAGAAGATTAAAGAAAGACACAAATAATAAAGATATCAATGTCAATATTAAAAGCAATGACAATAATAATGGCTCCTCAAGTGATTATTCATTAAGGAGTCAATTATGTGTCTTACCTATCTTACCTGTTTACATCTTTCCTTGATTTTCTTAAAGATCTTTCCTTTTCTTTTATTGTTATCAACATCTTAATAACATTATAATAATCATAAGGTCAATGATAATAATAATAACAGAACAAACATCAAAAGCATTAGAAAAGAAACACATTATAAAAAAAAAAATCAAGGAGTAGGGAAATAACGTACATGTACAGCCTACTATTTGACTCTCTGGTGGCTAAGCACTTGGAGAAACATCTGTGTGCAACAAAAATCACAAAAATAACAACAGTGGACAATGAAACTGTGACTGACAGATTTATAACACTGATTACAAGGCTTCTATTACCAACAATATTATAACAATAATAATTGTAATAGATATGTTGTGATATAAAAATAATTTCTGTTTATTTGACTTTCTGAATAGGAAAAATAACAGTTGGATCCCATTGGAATTGGGTGACATGGATCTCTTGCTATGAACAGATTTGGCTCAGGAGCAGGTGATGGGAATGTCTTCTCATAAAGAACTATTTGGTCATGGAGCTGGAGACGGGAATGTCTCAATATGGGATATTGTTGCTGAGTATTGGGTGATGAGAATGTGTCATCAAAAGTGCACAAAGCACTTGGAATGGGATTGACTCAGCAGGCCTTCAAGAGTCTTGATATTGCATGTAAGCACAGTTTTGGCCTACAAGCTCCACACCCAGGGGAGTTACAACTCTAGTGCAAGGTTTTTGGTCCACATGTGCCATGAGCTACCCGGATCCAATGGATTAAAGCTATATATTGGGGTCTGCATAAGTTATACCATACTGTACTAATGAGCCCCCAAAAAGGTGTAACACATACCAATTGTGGCTTGGTAATTATTGTTGAATCTGTTGTAGATGAAGCGTTCCACCAGGCTTGTTTTACCACATGCAGCCTGCCCCAGCATGACGACTTTCAGATCCACTTTCCCTGACATGGTGACTCTTGATTTCACAAACACTTCTATGCTAAAAAGGAAAAAAAGAAATATATATATATCCATTCATACATAGATAGACAGATTAAGAAACAGACTGATATAGATATGTATGCTTCCAGCCATGGGGTGTCCCTCATGCCAAGTCTCCGGGTAGGCCCCTGGCTCAACTGTAACTTCTTCAACAGGACTGGTTGAGCTGCCCAAGCCATGACCTTGTAACAGCACGACCCCACAACCTGAAGCTCAGCATACTTTCCCAGGTTGGGTCACACCAGGTCCGCCACTGTGTCTGCGCTCATTGGACAACAGGCTCCCCTCGTTCCCTGCAAACTTACACAACGCTCATGTACTCAAGCCGAATGGCTGTAAGTGAGATCAGCAATCCTCCAGCAGAGCAAGACCACAGCAGCAGCACACAAGGACTGCCCAGTCCTTAGCCGACTGGGGAGCCTTCCAGCTCCCCCGTAGATCTCCAACTTCAGCCTCCAACACCCAGCCATACCTGTGGGCACTCACACCCACAGTCACTCCCTAAAGAGATAAGACACCAGACTAAATAGTAGATGCAACCACACCATCTACTATAACCTCCTAGGTTGTCCCAAGGGCCTCCTCCACCCAGGATAACCCACATAGCCCGAATTGGTGGTCCTG